TCAAAATCAGAGTCTTCGACCATATCGGAAGGAGAAACAGTCATCTTTCTTTTCCTTTTCCTCTGTATTGGCAGGGTCTATTTTTTCTCAATTTCCTTCTCAACTTTTCCCTCAAGTTCTTCAAGCTGCGATCTAGATTCCAGAGAAATGAATTCATCTTCTGACTCTCTGGCAGTTACCGAGTCGGATGAAAAGACGATCGTCTTCTTCTTTCTTTTTAAAAATAACTCTTCCTCGTCATCTGATCCTTCATTTTCTTCCCCTTGAACATTGGATGTTCCTTTCTCAAGTTCAAAGAGGCTCATTTTCTTTTGTGATGGGCCACCTCCACGAAAGAAGAATTAAAGATAAGGCAAAATGCATTTTGAAAGACGAAAGGAGAAGAGACAAGAGTATACCTTTCTTCGAGGCAGCCCGAATGACTCTGGGAGGAATTGAAGCAGCAGGAGCAGCATGTGCCAATTCTGAAACAGTGGAAAAAGTGACCTCCCCGGTTTCTTTGGGCTTGGTCACATCTAACACTGTTAGTAGGCTTAAAGGTGGAATGGCCAGATAAATCTCCATGTTAGTCACCCACCAGTTTTGGTACCTCTTCAACACGGTACCTTGAGGAATGAAAGGGGTGTATTCAAAGGTGGCTAAATCATCTACAAATTTCAAAGTTGCCTCTTCTAGCCTGGACTTTCTAACTTTCAAATCCCTTCTGGTAAGGCTGAGATTTGTATTGCTGCAGAGAGGTATTGGGACCCCTTGTGAAAGGCCGAATTGTCTAGCGAACTGAGCTGGACAGTAAGGTTCAGCAATACATTTATATGCCTTCGGGTTTAAAGTCCCGATAAATAGCTCTCTGGGAATCAGGATGGAAGCCCATATATCCTGGTGAGTAAGTGAAGTACAAGATTGGTCACTTAGGAAATTCCTCAACCAAGATGGACCAATGGAAGGTTCGAAGGGACGAAAGCGGTAAGTAAGGAGGGAGGCTGGAAGCTGATGAAAAAAAGAGAAGTAAAAAGCAAAGGTAGAAGGGTAAAGTGAAGCATTGGCTATCCTTATGCCATGAGTAAGAGGGTTTGGCTCGGAAAATTTAAGGCATTTGGATTGTAATTCGGTAAAATAGGCGAAAAGCCAAAACTGAAGGATCCAGAATGGCCCCCCTTGATTAGCATCTAAGGGCTTCTCACAAAAAAGGGAGCAGACTTTATATACATGTCCTAGAACATGTGGGGCTAAGGCCACCTTTTTCTGTAAAACAAAGGCTTTGGCAAGAGAGGCAAATTCAAGCATAATTCTCTGAGAGGAAATGCAAAAAAGGAATTTACAAAGCCAATACAATAAGAAAGAAAAAAATTCCCTATCAGTCACAGGGCCCTGTCTTTTATTCTCAGCCCTAGCAAAATCACTATAAGATGAGTTAAGGGAGGGGAGAGAGAAAGGGACTGCTAAATCAGGATAATCTGGTCCAAAAGGAGTGCCAATAGGGGATAGTCCCAATAAATGGCAAATATCAAGAATAGTAGGGGCCATCATCCCACATCTAAATTGGAAGAAGTTAAAGACAGGATTCCAAAAACATAGAGCAGCGGGAACAAGGAAAGGGTCTTCTGAAATAGTTACCCTAGACAGTCTAAGAGCATCGAGAAGGCAGAGTTCTTGAAGGTCCAAGGTCCTAGCAGGAATAACCCGATCATACCACTCTTGTCACTCTGGTCTCACCGTGGGCCAGCATCGGTGGGGGCGATTCATCCTCCAGTTCCTCCAGTCAAGACCGCCTTCATAGAGAAGACATTGGTTTTCCAGTCGAGGATATAGGGCTGGGAGTTCAGTGAGGACTTCTTTGAATATGGGTCCGAGCACATAGTCTGACTGCACATGGCGACGAGGGACAAAGATGCGTCCATCAATAGGGCTCTTCTCCCCAGTTTTGTACTTTTTGCATTCCGCGTCAATAATTCTCTTCAGGGCCACAGATGGGCTCATACGCTCTACGACTGATACTGAGGGAGAAGCCATTGACGATATGTTTTTCTTCGGGAAAGGAAGTAAAGAGAAGCCGACGATTGATAATAAAAGGGATTTGTGCGATTAGAAGAGCAGGTGATTTCAGAACACGAAACAAAAGGGTTTTTAAAGCCCTCGTATTTGAAAATATATTACATGAGCTGTTAAGTATTAAAAGTACGAGTACAAAAGCTTCCTTCAACGTTGATGCTTTTGGAGGGAAAAACAAAGCCCGGTTGTTAAGGCTAGCTTCGAAGTAAGATATTTTGCTTCGAAGCCGAGTCAAACGGCTTCGAAAACAGAGAAGCCAGCTTCGAAATGGGTTGCCCTACCCAAGAAATAAAAATACTCGAGTATTTATTTTGAAAAGGGCTTAAAGACCTGTTTCTTGAGTTTCTTTAACAAAGGTAATGTCCTTCGAAGCAAAACTTGAGTTTCTTTAAGGATGGGATTTGGTGTTCGAAACATCAAAAGCAATAATGACAATGACTAGATATTGACTATGGTCAAAACAGGTTTTGAATGTAAGATTGTTAGATTCGAAGCACTGTTTCCAATTGAAAATCAGCCACAACTCAACTCCACAAATTGGAAAGGTTACAATTGGCTCATTTAGTGTTTTATTTAAAACAATTAAGTCCAAATTTAAAGGATGAAATTGTTCGAAGTTCGAAACTCTGAGTTGACTTTTAAAACACAAGTAAAAAATACAAGTGAAGACAGAGTCAAACAGAGACAAATTTTGTTTATATTAAGATCAGAGTGATTACATCAGCTGACCCTATCTCGGTATGAACTCGAGCTCATAAAAATAAGGAATGGAATAAATAACAAGATCATGAAATTTAGTCCAACAATGATCAATGAACTTTTGTTCTTTCCTTATTCTATCTTCTAAATTTTCTAGCATTGGCTGCATAAGTTGATGTGCTCTCACTTCATAGTAGAGCTCTTCAGCCTTTATTTCGAAGGCCACCTCTCTTAATCCTTGTTCCAATTCATCAATGTCTAAGTCACCCCAATACGCAGAATCTTTATTCTTGAAATCATTGAATTCTTCAATAAAGTTCTCTGCTTCGTACTGAGCATGAATTCGAAAGGACGGAAGTTGTCTAAAGATTGTGTAGTAGCCACAGAATTGCGATGCCAGTGAAGAAGCAATGGAAGTTGGTCCAGAAACATATGAAGTTCTGCCTGAGCAAGGGGATTAAGGACATGGCCTCTAGTCATGATGTCAAAAGCCCATCGAAGGTTCTTGAGAGGGACTTCGTCCTCGAGAACATTTTCATTAAACCTTTTTAATCTTGATTTTGGATGCTGATTTTTCTATAAAATGACCTCCCCAACTCGTTTTTCAGTACCCTGACCATTGTGCCTTCATTGAAAAATTATTTCTTATACTCTAGCTAATATATATGAGTTGATTTACAAAATCCCACAAAATCCTTTCAAAATCTCTACATTATTGCATTGTTCGTTCTGTACTCAAGGCCAGTTGGGTAATTGGAGCTATTCAAAAACAAAGTTCAAGGATGGTGAAAATGGAGATAAGTTGCATACATCTTACCCTCTCCAAATTTTGTTTTAGCCAAAGCATAATGCATTGGATCGCCCTTACAAGTCATTTCAACAAAAAATTAAGATAAAGTCGTGTACTTACTTTTCCTAGACCCCATTATTAGAAGAAGTCTCATGATTTAGAACAATTTTTTATATTTTTTTAAGTTTATGAGCAGATTAGACCATTTAGGTTGGGTTTGGATCTAAAATTGAGGAAGCATTTGTGGAAGGAAAGGAAAATGAAAGCAAAACATAAATTGAATATAAGCTTTCACATTTTCGTTCCCTTTGTTTGCCTTTAACAAATCCTTTGCAAAATCCAAGCATAGCCTAATTGATGCCCAGGCCTGCCAAAACTCATCCTATGCTTTGTCCAAACCCATCTCCCTGTATTATAACATCAGAACACAAAAAAATACAGCCATAGTGTTGGCTACACATTTTGTACTAAGCTAGTGACAATCCGACGCGTGGCGAAGTGAGGGTAATATGGGAAGACCATGTAGGTCTTCGATCCTGATCATACACGTGGCAATTAATATTGGTTGTTATAAGATCTGAGTAGTAGCAGATCAACAAAGAGACGCACAGTGACGTGGCTTCAACGGTTGCTCACATTTCAAATTCGAATATAAGGGGGAAGCCTAACTGCAAGTGAAGGCGTAGTGGAACTACTTATAAGGTAGCATGATCAGCAACTACGGAGGAGCAGTTCGACGGTTTGAAGTACAATTCGATGGTTATCTTCGGAGAGTATAAATAGCAGGAAGGACTTCAGAGAAGGGGACGAAGAAAAATCTAAAGAATCACTTTACATATTCCAGTGTTATTTCCTGTCCTTAATATTCCTGTATTTTAAGTTTCTGCGCTGCACTTCATTTGTAGGAGTAGTTGTCGAGTATATTGCCGCTGTAATTCTCTACGGAACTGAGATCATTGTAAGTTCTTTTAATACTAATGAAATACTCCAGTTTAGTTAACTGTTCTTATGTTCAAATTTTCTGAAGTTAAATTACCAGTAAACCACCAGTAAAAGTCCTCTTTATTGAGGCCGAAAGAACCATAACACAATCGTCTGAATAATTGTTTGGCAATTCTGTAAGGACTGATTGATCCTTGCTGGCACGCTCATAATTACGAAAGTAACCTTCGAAATCCAAAAAAGCCAACATATATTTTTGGCACGCCCGGTGGGACCTTTTAAAAACAAAAATGGCTAGACGTAGGAGACAAGGAGAAAATGAACGTTTGGAAGAAGGTGTAGAAGGAGAGGTGGAGACATCCAATCCAGAGGATAATGTGATAACACATCCTATGGAGACTCCTATCCTATCGGAACCCATGGTCGAACAGACCAATACCTCAGAGCAAATCCCATTTGTTCGTAATAGTGGACGAGACCAAGGAATTGGACCATCTTTTGTGTGTGTTTAAATTCTTTCTGTATTCCTAGTTTTACTATAACTTGAAACAGCCTCATTCCAATGCAAGGCGACCACCTCTTCTTTTTTTTCTTTCCCTCTTCATAATCATAGTTTATTATCCATGGTCATGAAATTTTAAGTAAAACATAAGGGAGTAGAGATTTACAACCAGCAAGTGCCTGAAACTAGACACAAAGCATCAATCAAAGCTCGTCATGGGAATCATTATCTGCATCAGAGACGGTCTCCCTCACCTTCTTGGTCGTCTTGTGCATTGCTTCTCCCATTACCTTGGCTGCCGATTTAGCAGATTCTTCCACTGTCACTTTGCTCGTTTCGAAACTTTTCTCAGCTGCCTCTTTCATCTTTTCTCCACCACCACCACTTTCAAACTTATCTCCATATCTTTTTCTGAAACTAACTCCATTTTCTAAGATTAGTCAGAATCAATTTAGACATGATGTATAGATATACATTTAACTTGTAAAGCCCAAGAAAGAAAAAGAAAAAAAAGAGTAGTGTATTGAGAAGAAAAAGAAAAAAATGGATGATCAAAAGGAAAGGGTGCCTGCCAAATTTCATCATACTTACTCTAAATCTGGAGGAACAAATTGTGTCTGCATTTCATTGATAAAAGACTTGACTTTGTCCCAAGAACTTACAGTGGATCTTGTGATTAGAGCGTATATGTCTCTTACAACCTCAGTAGCAGATGGTTTTTGTTCCTTATTTTCAACATCGGATTGGTGTCCGTCTCCAACCGTGGCGACAATCTCATGGGACAATGTAATGAGCCAGAAAATGCACAATGTAGTAGTGATTCCTTTGAAGTTATCCATGCCACTCCTCTAATCTAAATTGGGTGATGCAGCAATGTAGTGTTGTGGATCATATTTTGAGTTTGTTTGAGAGGTTTGTAGTTAGTGTCATGGGTGGTTTCAAGTTAGAATAGGATCTCTCTACTACACAAAGGGAAACGTGGACCTTGTATCTTGCTTGTAGGTTTGTGCACATTTGAACATTTCAAACCCCCAGGACTATCAAAAAAATAAAAATAAAAAAATTATTTTCACCTCCAATGTTTCTCATCAGAAGTTGTTAAATGACCAAGTAATCATTTTATAACACCTATTTCCCTATTTTCACACAGATTGACAAATGAGGTAGAAAATTTTGTGAATATAGTTGAAAGAGCTCATCAAATTCGCAAACCAATCTTATCAAATTTGTGAGTTATAAATGTTCTTAACTCAAGCCAATATTTGAACGCCACATAATCCTCTATTATAGACATGAGAGGCACCAGAACTAGGGATGGCAATTTGAAACCGGCCCGAAGGGGATCCCCGATCCCGACCCCGATTTAAGCGGGTTTTCCCCGAAAAATACCCCTGGCGAGGAGAAGACGGTATCTGAAAATCAATCCCCGATCTGTTTCGGGCCGGGGACGGTGATCAGTGTTTAAGCCTCGGCCCGGACCGATCCCCGGCCCCGTCCTCGGCCCCGGCCCCATCCCCGAATTTTCCCGAAGTGAAATTACTTTTATACCCCTTATATATATATATATATATAAACAAAACCAAATCTGTGTTTAACTCAACCAAATCTGTGTTCAACTCTGATATATCTCTCACACTCACTCTCTGACAGTGACTCTGATATTCATCTGGGCCGATCAACCTCGCAAGAGATCGACTCTCATTCATCGCAAGATCGACCGATCGACCTCATACTCTCATCGCACCGATCGACCTCGCAAGTATGGATCTCTATGTCGCTGTCTCTGTCTCTCTTTCCTCTCCGATCTCTGATTTTTTTGTGTTATTCAGATCTGTGTCACTGTATGACTAAGATTGTTTGTCAATGGTGATTTTTTGTTCATTTCTGTGTCAATGGTGATTTTTTTTTTTTATCTATGACTCTTAGTTTATTTGTTCATTTCTGATTGTGTGTTATGTGTCAATGTCATATATCAGATATATATTCTATTTATCTCATTTATCCATATTAGTTATATGAGATAATATCTGATATCTATATCATCTATCCATATCAGGATATGATAGATATATATCCTGAGTGGTTATCCAAATAGGTTTGAATGCAAATTCAAAACCCATTTGGATAAGGTTCAAAAGGCTGAAAAGGGTCATGCCACATGGGCGCCCATTTCTAACATCTCTCACTCGCACATGAGTTGGCATGACACTGCCACATCTCTATCTCAATCTCCCCAAAAATGAACAATCTCATACTAGCCAATGCACCGTGCGACCGCTGAGAACACCTGCATGTGGGAGCTCTATACTAGAAACTCAATATGAGTCAGCATAGAGACATCAACCCAAAAAGAACAGAAATAGTGTCTCATGTACCCAGACCCATCTAGCTACATCAGTCCAAAAACATCTCTAATCCCTCAAAGAGCATGCTTGACTCTCCTAGGTCCCACATTATATTCACACCCAATCAGCATCCTATAAAGAGTGATGTGAGTTGTCGACATTGAATATAGAGCAGAGATATAGAACTAGATGATCTTCCCTTCACCCTCATATCATTCAATTTGAAATTGACTGCTTTCCCAGTAATGTCCCTTAAAGCCGAATCATACATGACCGCAGGCAACATACCAAAGTAGTTAAACATCAACTCCTTATCTTATGACATAGTCAAAGGTCACAAAAGGCACAAAGTGAAGTCATTTAGGGAAAAATGACTTTTAGGACTCACACGGTGAAGAAGCAGGGATCCATTCTTTCATCTCGCTAACGGGTCGATAAGTACATGCAGTATGAATGCACGTTATAGCGGAGTAACTCTTCCAAAGAGTGATGTTAAACTCACACACTATACAGATCTTAGTCTAGTCGCCCTTAAGCGCACAAGTCGCTTCCTAGCGTCTAACTCGAATTCTCTATTTGTTCGTCTCTCAGGCATCAAATGAGATCTCGCATCTGGCTATCCATAACAGGCACATCATAAAAAAGTGGGTACTATCATATCCATGGTCGGTCTCTAACAAGACCTCATCTTGGCTCCAACCAAGGCGACATAGCTAGTGGATAATTTTAGCTTCTAGTCTCATCCTTACTCGCTACCCAGCGCTAAGGGCGATTGCTCGTGTGAGTGAGCCAATCTTGCCTGCTAACATCAATTTAATTATTTTGTGTATGCTAATTCACAAACCATTACTAAAAGTAGTAAACATAAATGTGTAATAGAAACAAATATGAATACTAATGGCATAAATATCCCCAAAAAATGAGTTCAACTGAATACACATAAAAAAAATATCACCACCTACGTAGTCCTAAAGCCCTAACATGAGTAAGATAAACATCTCTAGCAATGGGCTTAGTCAAAGGGTCCGCAACCATGCGACTCGTAGGGATGTGCTCCAGGATCACTTCTTTCTGCGCCAAAATATCTCTGATAAAATTGAACCTCACATCAATGTGTTTGGTTCTGCCATGGTATTTAGGATCCTTAGCGTAAGCGAATGCAGCCATGCTGTCACAATGGATAGTCACAGGGTCTGAAGTGTGTGTGACAACATCCAAATGCTGAAGGAATCTCCTCAACCACACGGCTTCCTGAACGGCAGATGAATAAGCCACAAATTCAGCCTCCATCGTCGATAAGGCGATACAGGATTGCTTCTTACTGCTCCAAGAAATAGCGCCATCGCTAAGCAGGAAAGCATATCCTGAAGTAGACTTATGCTCATCTAGGTCTTCTCCCCAGTCAGCATCACAATAGCCAACTAGATGTAGATCTGAACTCTGGTAGCAAAGTGTGTAATCTGCAGTCCCTCTAAGATATCGTAATATCCTCTTAACTGCTTTCCAATGAGCTGGTCCTGGGTTGGATTGGTAACGACTCACCAATCCGACTGCATAACAAATGTCAGGACGCGCACACATCATAGCATACATCAAGCTTCCAACAGCATTTGCATAGGGAACACGGGCCATCTTTTCATTTTCTTCTTGAGTCTTAGGACCCATATCAAGACTTAGGCTCTCGCCTTTTGCAACAGGAGTGTCAATGGGTTTGCAGCTCTGCATCTGGAATCGCTCTAGAATAGTCTTAATGTAAGTCTCTTGAGACAAACCAAGAAGTCTCCTAGAGCGATCCCTAAAGATCTTAACACCGAGCACATAACTCGCCTCACCCATGTCCTTCATCTCAAATGTAGAGAACAACCACATTTTAGTGGCGACAATCATCTCTTTGTCATTTCCAGCCAATAGTATGTCATCTGCATATAATGACAATATCAGAAAAATGTCCTTGGACCGCTTAACGTACACACAGTGATCTTCATCAATCATCGTAAACCCATTAGAAACAATGGCTCGATGAAATCTCAGATTCCACTGTCTGGATGATTGCTTTAAGCCATAAATAGATCGTTGAAGCTTGCAAACTTTGCGCTCCTGACCTACTGCCACAAAGCCTTCTGGTTTATCCATATAGATCTCTTCATCCAATTCTCCATTGAGAAATGTAGTTTTAACGTCCATCTGATATAGCTCTAAGTCCAACTGAGCTACTATGGCCAGGATTAGGCGAATAGAGGCAAACCTTACAACTGGTGAAAAAGTTTCCTCATAGTCCACACCCTCTCGTTGGGTGTAACCTTTCGGCACTAGGCGAGCCTTATACCTTTCTATGGAACCATCCACCTTGCGCTTGATTTTGAGAACCCATTTGTTCCCAATAGTCTTGCGCCCTGGCGGCAAATCAACCAAGTCCCAGACATGATTTTTCTTCACAGACTCTATTTCTTCATGCATTGCAGTACTCCATTCTTTACTAGCAGGGGATAAGAGAGCCTCTTTGAGATTCTTAGGCTCCATCTTATCACTCGGAGCAATCATGAATGCTTCCCCTTCAATCTCAAAACGACGACAGGGTGTAGCTCCACGTTTGCTTCTACGTAGCTGAGAATCCTGAGAATCCTCATCCGTTGGATCTAATCCATGGGCAGGTAGATCGCTCCCACTGTCCCTAGGAGCTTGAGGAATTATTTCCTCATTCTCTACTAGGCCACTAGGTGCGCTTTCAAGTAGATCCTCCATCTCATAGAGTTCTACTTCTCTAGTTACCTCACCTCTGCTAGGGAAATCCTCCTCTAGGAAACCCACATCTCGTGACTTAATTTCAGTCACACTTCCATCCGCATGCTCCCCAACAAACACATAGCCCTTAGAATGCTCACTATAGCAAATGAAGATACACTTCTTTCCTCTAGGGCCCAACTTCCCAAACTTATGAGAAGCGTTGTATATGTAAGCTGCCGAACCCCAAGGCCGCAAATTGCCCAAATCAGGCTTTTTGCCAGTCCACATCTCATATGGGGTGAAAGGAACTGATTTGGAGGGCACACGGTTAAGGACGTAGGCAGCAGTCAACAAAGCATCTCCCCAATAAGAAATTGGAAGATTAGCTTGCGCCATCATTGATCTAACCATGTCAAGCAATGTGCGATTCCTTCTCTCCGCTACACCATTTTGTTGCGGAGTCCTAGGAATTGTCTCTTGTCCCATAACTCCTTTTTCCTCACAGAGCACTTTAAATTGCTCAGATAGATACTCACGTCCTCGGTCAGTCCTTAGAGCTTTAATGCTCTTGTCTAATTGATTCTCAACCTCATTAACATACCGTCTAAAGCAATCCAATGCTTCTGACTTGTGAGAAATCAGATAGACATGACCAAAACGTGTGCAATCATCTATAAATGTGATGAAATAGGGGGCTCCATGCCTTGCCCTCACATTCATTGGTCCACATATATCAGAATGAATAAGTTGCAATGGGATAGATGCCCTTATGGCTTTCCCAAATGGTTTTCTTGTTGCCTTTCCAGCAAGACAGTGCTCACAAGTAGGCAAAGTGACTCTAGCGAGTGGGCCTAAAAGACCTTCTCTAGCCAATCTAGTCATCC